GGCTATTTTAAGTGTTAATTATATAATTAACATTAACTTTTACTCTTTTACTTTAAAGCATCTTTATTACCTTTTGTACAGCGTTAGCTTGCGTAGTAATGTTAGAGAATAGTGCAGAATCTATGTTAATTCTTAGGTACATTTTAAATATAAGTAATGTAGGTATAAAACTATTTAGTTTTACTATATTATTTAAAGCTTTAATAGCTATTTATAACACTAATTTATTATTTATATAATTATCTAATTCTGCACAGAGGATGTTGTATACATGTTGCAGTAGTATGTGCGCGCGCTTAATCTTTCCTATAGCCTAATAGGCTTTTACTAGCATTTATTAACATGTTGCTTTTATAATCTTTACATAATTCTAGAAATCTTTAGATGCAAAGTTTATACTAAAGTTATGTATAATATAATTAAGTAAGCTTTAATATGTGTTAATTTAATACTTATAAAGCGCGTCCTAGGTATCTTGTGCAGATATTAATTTTAAAAAGGTTGCTGCTTAGAATAATATATTTATGTTAATTATATATAGTATGTCTTAGTTACTAATTTATATAACATTAATTACTATTTTGTAATTAAAGTATAAATTATCCTTAATTATAAACTTAAATCTTTATAGTGCTAAGTTATGTAGCTAATATATGTAGTAGAACTTCTTAATTTCTTTAAGTATAAAGGGATTAGCGTTGTATCTAGCGTTCTTAAGCATTATGTAAAGCTGTTCTGTACAAGGATAGCTAAACCTTTTATGCAGTTATTAAAGTTTATGTTTTATAAAAAAAAACATTAATTCCTTTTTTTATACATTAAAGAATAGGTAACCTTATTTATGTACAACTAGAACTCTAATTCTATTACTTTATATAATTACATTCTGCATGTTATTAAAGTACGCATTTATCTAGTCTGCGTTAGTAAGAGATAGTAAGAAGAGTATTAGTGTATCTAGTATATAATATGTAACACTACTAACTAAATTAGTAATTTGTATAGTACTAATTAATTCTATTAATTTTTATTTTTTAAAGCTAATACTCTTCTTGTTTAGTGTCTAGTCTACTTTTATATAAGAAAATTTTTATAAGTATGCTTTAAGTTATAACTTTCTTATAGTAGAAATTCTTACAGCGCTAGTATTCTATAGTTTACTTTAGTATACTATATAATATTAATTCTTAAGAATAAACTATTCTGCGCATTCTTTAGGTTTTAGGCTGTATATGTCCTCTACTGTCACACAGTAGAGAAATGTAGTAAAGGTAAGGTAGTTAATAATCTTCTTACTTTTCTTTTTATTTAAGTTATTATTATATAACTTTTTTTTCTCTTACTTTAGTTTACTTTTAAATTCTTAAATATATATGTTTACTTCTTTACATATTAGGGTCTTATTATAGAATTTTTTATACAAAGAGATGTACTAGTGTTTTATATAGAATTAATTTATGTAAGAATAATTTGTTAACTAACATTTTTTCTTATAGCAGATAAAGCATTACTTTAATTATATAAAAAAGTGTAATCTAGATAATTTTTTATATCTCTTTAGACTTTTTTTATATTGTTAGAAGCTAATTATATAAGAAAAGTTATATCTTTTATTAGTGTAATACATGTCTTTTAGTTTATTTAGGAATGTGTTATTCTACTAATTAATTATAACCTAAAGTGCTAAACAAAGGTTACTGTACAGTGCCTTATATATAAGCTTAATTAAGAATATTACTTATTTAAGTTTAAGTTATCTTTAGCATGCTTATATAACAGTAGTGTAAAGCAGTATCTTACCTTAAAATTATAGACTAAGAGCTTTTTATATAAAAGTAAGTTTATTAATTATAGCTTTAAAAGCTTTATGTAGAGTTTTTATAAAGTTTTTTTACTTAATTTATATAAAGCTTATTATTATTTAATCTATTTAATACTAGTTATAATTTACATTAGTATTAAAGTAATTACTAAGCTGTTTATACAGGACCCTCTATGTCTTCCTAAGGCTAATATTGTAAAGGTAGAACATGTGTGCACAGCCTTTAAAAATATTAGGGAAGATGCTTGCGTATAAGGCTTTATAGATAGCAAGGTGTTAGCAAAGCTTAATAAATACTATAGCCTTATTAGCTAAAATATTATATAGTTACCTTATGTAGTTATTCTCCTTTCTCTATGCTTTCTAGAATTATATAACCTTCTTAGGTGTAAAGTTCTCTGCTGTAATATCTTATATAGGTAGAAGTTAGTATAAATTATATAGTAATTAAATTATATGCAGTAGGTACAAGCTTTAGGGAATTTTATGCAAAGCTGTAGCTACAGGAATATGTAGCTGCCTAGTTATGCTCTTATACAGTAAGCTATTACAAGGTAGTTGTACTAATTGCAGAGAAAGTATTAGGTCTGCAGGTAATTTATATAGAGACATCCTCTGTTGCGTTAGAACTAACGCTAGTAGTAATAGTTTAGTATAATAGTCTAATAAGATAGTAAAAGCGTGTTTTTTTTTATAAGTTTATATAGTGTAATAGCCTTTATTTTGTCTTTCTTAAAACTAATGCCTTTATTCTATAAGGTAGTAATTAGTTTTTATAAAAATAGTTAGCTAAGATTTCTAAAGTGTATAAGCTCTTACTTTATAAAGTTATTTTAAAAGTTTTTAAGTGTATATACATTTATTATGCTTAACACGCAGAGTTCTATAATTAAGTTAGCTGCGTATAAATTAAGCTTCTTTTTAAGTGTGTTATCTAATAGTTTAATCTTATTTACTTAATTTTTAATGTTTGTCTACTTTGCTAGAGTCTTTGCTAAGATGCCTATAAAAGGTACATATTAGTTATACATTAATATGTTATGTTAGCTAGTTATAGATAAAGCTAGCGTTACTTGTTACTTTATAGTAGTTAATTATGTGTTGTTGCGCGCTGTCTTACTTCTTATTATACGCTGCCTCTAAATAGCCTTGTGTAAAAAGATAAAACAGACTTTCTAGCATTAAATAAGTACTTCTATTTATATAATACCTCTAAACAGTATTGTACAGACAGGTTTTCTGCTCTTTATTAAGTAACTAAATAGAGATTTATAGCTACTTGCATGTAAATTAGACTCTGTCTTTACTCTTACTAATTTATAGTTAAATTAGTAAGAGAAAGAATTTCTTTTATACATAATTCTTTAAATAAAAAGGTATAAAAAGAGCTTTTTGTTTTATAGCATTTAAACTACTAATTAGTGTTAAATAGACTCTATGCTAGCTATGCAAAGCAAAGAGGTTTGCACAGTGTACACATTGCGCGGCGGGGGGGGGGGGGGGGGGGGCGGGGAAACCGGGGTGATTCTTGTTTTTCTAAGTCTGTGCGAAGGAAAGGGTATTTATCTGTCTGTGCGTACAACTGTGACACAAGACTATGTCACGTGACGCCCAACCGCGTATCTAAATACTGCTATTTGGACAACTAAGTTGTTAATAATATTTATAGTAAGTAGTTATATTAGCTTAGTTAAACTATTTACATAATTGTTGCAACTGCTAATTAGAGAGCAATAAGAAGCAAGTCTATTAACTATAAAAGGCTTATAGAGAGCCTGCCTATGTAGTAGAAGCTCTAGCGCTAAGTGTCTCAGGCTGCTTGTCTGAAACACAGGCGCGACACTAGGACCATGTGCTCTCTTACGCAACAATAATTTTATATTATTATAACTTAGTTTAGCATAAAGTTAAACATTTTAAATAAGCTCTTTTTAATAAAAAGTGTTACTACTAGTGTAAAAAAGCTCTTTTACTTAAAGTTTTACTTAAGTATAATAGTAAAGCAGTCTTTTAGTTACTAAATAAAGTATATAAAGCATATAATTTCTAAGCTTAAAAAGATGCTAATAAAAAATCTTTATAACTTAAAAAAAAAATTAAAGCTTAAAAAAGCTAAAAAATTTAAATAAAAAAAAGGTAAAAAAAGTATATATACTAATTAAAAAAAAGTGTATAAAAGTAGTAGTAAAAAAAATCCATCTTTAAAAGCAGCGTGTTAAGGTAGTGTAAGGACAGGGCTCCGCACCACTCCGCCAATACAACCAAAAGGTACGAATAATCAACCAACGTTGATTTTCGGGTGCAGAATAGTATATATACCCGTCGCACGTAAGCACCATCTCGGCCTTACACGTAAGCGCCATCCTGGCCTTACATTATCCCCCTTCTTAGCAGACGCATGTCCCAGGCGTCACATGACCTACCCGCAGCTCAGAGGCGCCTATGCGCATGTCTCGGTTACCGGCCAGAGGCTGACCACCTGCGGCCCAGAGGCGCGGGATAAATAACGACACAACGCTTAGTGGCCCACGCCAGCTAAGCCATATACACTAGACCTCCCAGCAGCTACAACGTGGCGCCAGAAGAGGCCGCCTCACGTTTCAGTCTAAAAACTGGCAAAGCTGTCCAAGGTGTGGGTCAAACGCGCGACTGTCCTCGTCGTTGGTTAATTATTATGTAAGGACAGGGCTCCGCACCACTCCGCCAATACAACTAAAAAGGTGCGAATAATCAACTAACAGTTAATTATTGCGTACAGAATAGTATATATACCCGTCGCACGTAAGCACCATCTCGGCCTTACACGTAAGCGCCATCTCGGCCTTACAGGTAGCTTAAAAAAAGAAAGTAAAGTTTACTTAAAAAGCTACTACATAACTTAAAAAGAACATCTAATTAGCAAAAAAAAAGTTAAGAAGAAGGCCTTTACACTAATTACTAGTAATAAAAATAAGAAGAAAGATTATATTAAAAATAAATTAGTTATAAAGGTTGCTACGCCTACTCTAGCCTAAAGTTAACATAGCAGGTAGATTAACCTTTTTAAAAGGTTTTTTATATAATAGATTAATTAATTAGTAAGCTTTCCTTATAACTTTAGAAAACTGCTTTATTTTATAAGCTCTATAGAGCTATACAGCTTTAAAAGTTAATAGGGGTAACATCTTAAAATTGTGCGTTACAAGGGGCCGTGTGTTAGGCGATGAAACACGGTACCACGCGGCGCCTATGACCTGGGGTTTTCAGTTAGTGTCGGGAAACCAAAGTGTGAAGAAACCTCAAATAGGTGTGGCTGCTTAGTGGCTTGACACATACCGGACTCGCGTCCGCGACGCTCCCCGCAATGATGATGTCCGCCCCCTCTTTTAGTCCTTTCACGATTTCTCTGGCGCCAAGATAGGCGTTTGCACTGATGACCGGCTTGTTGCCTTTTTTGAGGAGATCGAGGGTGTGATTTGCGTGGTGGACTTCACTATTGTCGGAATCGAGATGGGGTGGGAGTCCTTTGCTGCGGATGTCTTTAATCTTGTTGATGAGGTTGTCGCCGAGGACGTAGGCGACTTTCAATAGTAGGTTTTTCTTCGTGACCTGAGACCTCCGTCAACGCCTAGAAGGATGCAATAAGCATGATCTACCCACCAACTGATGCACTTTCTCAGACAATCCTTTGGGTTTGTGCGCACCACCATTGATAATCACTTTTATCCGTTTCTGCGCTAGGATGTCAATTGTCTGTTGGATTCCATCCCATGCTGTCTCTTCCCATCCAGCGGCGTGCGCTTGTGCATTTTCCGCGATGTTGACTTCTATCGTAGATGTGAGCTTCTATGAACATGTAGGGCAATTCGGGCCCTAACCAGCAAGGTAATCACCCGTAATAAAATCTACATCTCCCAACTCCGCTCGATATCTCATATGATATCTAGGGTCGGCTACTTCGACGTCAGCCAATGTACGGAAGCTAGATCGTGTGTCGTGCAACCTCACCTTTAAAACCCGAGCAATTCGCGATCCTAGTGGGCCTCGTGCCACGCGCCTTCGTCCATCTCGTCACGTATCCTAGAGAAGCCATTCGGAAGAGCGAAATGCCGACGTCTCGTTGTCTCGTACTCAAAGCAATGATTGGGTTAGCCAAAAAAGAAATGTATAAGCATTGGCCGGCGCTGACGGGGCCTCTTTTAAGTTTCGGATCCTTTCAAGTCCTCCAGGCTTCTTCTTTTAAACATTTACCGAGGACATACAACAGATGAAGATTTTATCTTCCATCCGAAATCTCGTGAAACCCTCCTCTTTTCCTCTACCTTGCGGTTGCTTACGACTGCGGAGACAGTGCGGTGTTGATTGGCTAGGGGAATAACTCGAATTGATCGACTCGACTAAGGACCGAATCGACAGCGACGACCGCTACTCTAAATCCGAGGAATTTTGCCAAGGCCGCCGGTGTGCTACATGAATCGCTGACTTTAGCATATAAGAAAACCGCTGCATGTCCATAGATCAGGAGTACTGACGGAATATTAAAAGCTCTTCGTTAAAATGCCTTCCAATAGAGTAAACGGTTATATGAACGGACAAACGAATGGAGTAAGTGGCACTAAAGGCCCAACGGCCTACTCAATCCCTCAAGAAACAGCGAAGGTCTTCCAAGATGGTATCTTGAAGAACCCACTGATCGGTCCGAACCTTCCTAAGGAAATTGAAGAATGTGCAAAGAGGATCGAGTTTAAGGGAACCGATAAACCCAGCATTCCAATCAATTGGCGGTTTGCGGAAAGTATCTCAGCTTTGAAAGGATTGGAAGCTGCGATGATCAATGTCCTTCTGAAGAAAAAGTATGGAGTAGAGCCTCAGAAGGCTGTCATCAATACGTAAGCCCTCATCATAGCATTTGAAGCCAAAAGTGTGCTGATTGGAAGTTAGAGACCACGCACAGCTCTTCATCATGTCGATTCTGCTTAATACAATCGACCCTGACGGCGAAGCGCTCACGTTCGCCAAAGCCGCCTCACCTGCTTACGCAAAGTACTTCAAGAACACTGATCTGCACGGAATGCAAGCGAGCACCTATCGAACGTCAGCTACCAACATTTATCGTTGTAAGGATGGGCGCTACTTTCACTTGCATGGAAGCATGGACTCCGAACTAACACAAAAGAGCCTTGGGCTCCCTCACGATTTCGAGCACGCTCCGGAGGAGTCATGGCAGCCGTATGTGAACAAGGTGGCGCAAATCGATTCTGTAGAAATGCAGAATTTGGCCTCGGACGTTTATAAGCAAGCTGGCACTATTTGCTGGACGACAGAGGAGTTTAAGGAGAGTGAGCACGGCAAAGCGAATGCGCATATTGGCCTGTACGAAGTCCACGACGTTAAGAATGAAAGACAAACACCTTGCTGGTGGCCAGATTCGCCTCAGACGTCACCGCAACGACCTCTGGCGGGATTGAAAGTAGTTGACCTGACCCGAGTTATTGCTGCCCCGGCTGTAACTAGAGGGCTTGCTGAACTTGGTGCAAGCGTGATGAGGATCACAGCTTCACACATTACTGACATGTCGTCTCTGCACTGCGATCTCAGCTGGGGGAAATGGAGCGCTCATCTCGATTTCCGAAGAGAAGAAGACCGGGAGAAGCTGCGAGTGCTCGTTCTAGAGGCGGATGTCGTCGTTCAAGGCTACCGACCAGGTGTCCTCGACAAATACGGATTCTCACTCGATAGACTCCTAGACCTCACCAACGACCGCGAAAGGGGCTTGGTCGTCGTAAGAGAAAATTGCTACGGGTGGCAGGGTCCGTGGTATGTAGGCACCATTTGTTAGGAATTGAATCACATGTTGACTTTTTCAGGTCGTACAGATCTGGATGGCAGCAGATCTCAGACGCATGTTGTGGTGTATCGATGGAGTTCGGGAGATCGATGGGTAACAACGAGCCCGTAACACCCGTCTTTCCGAATTCCGACTTCTGTACTGGAGTTGCCGGAGTTATCGGAATCCTAAGTGCTCTCCTGAAGCGTGGAACCTATGGTGGATCATACAAAGTTGACGTACGCACCCCATCCATCTCTAATACCATTAGCAAACCACACTCACAAACATTTCCAGGTCGCGTTGAACTACTATTCACAATGGCTCGTGAACAGCGTGGGCGTCTACCCCCCTGCCATCTGGGATGACGTCTGGACACGCAATGGGCGACAGGTCTTCCGCCACTACCACAACATGCAATATACCCTTCCCAAATTCCTAAAGATGCTGCAAGACAACTCTGGACATGTTATTTTCAACCCTGCTTTTTTCGAAAAGGTGCGATCAGGAGCGATTGGGAAGGACATTTTGAGACCAATGCCCGTGATTCAGTTTCCAGAGGGGTTGGTACAGTTGCGGTTTAATGTTGGAACAAGGTCGAATGGAACGGATCTGCCGAAGTGGCCAGAGAATCTGATGACGGAGGTTGTGTCAGAGTGAGATAGGCGAACCGGATGCCAAGGTATGTATGCAGTTGGGCGTAATGTCATTTTATTAGCCCATCATCATTTTCCCTTGTCCAAACAATTGTTGATAGGACAGCTGAACCTGACGCATGGGAGGTATGTTTAGAAATTTAAGGGTTCCCAAGCATGTAATATATTCTAATAATAATTACACTTGTTAGAATTGAACCCTATTGTGACAGTGCTGCTTGTCAAGCTCCGCTGCTAGTCACATGATCGCACTAAGAACTAAGCAAGCGTGCAAGCGTGCTAGCGCCTTAGCGCAGCGCAAGCTTTTCTCTTGTAAAAGCCTTTACCTTCTTCTCTCCCTATTCTAGTAGAGCTAACTTGCTCTACCTTGCTCTACCTACTCTATACAATAGTAAAGACAGTGCTTATTATTATATTAACGTACCTTACAGGCGAGTTGGCCACACAGGCGAGTTAGCTACTCTGCTAAGACCCTACTAAAATCATGCACTTACCTATTGTCGCATACAGCTATCCGTCTATATATATCCTTCTGCTGTGCTAGCTAGGAGGTTAACCTTTTAGCAAACGCAACACCTATAATACAACGCGATGTCTTAACAGCAACATAAGATAGAACTTTATAAAGAAGTTAGATTTTAGCTTACACTTTAAGCTATTAAATAAGATCTAATACTCGTTTTATAATAACGTATTCTATAGGCAAGTTGCTTACACACCTAAGTTACTTACTTTTACTAAGACTCTACTAAACTACTTTTTTTACACTAATGTATTTTTAATAATACTACTTAGATGTGCTAAAAGAACTTTAAATATAGCTTATACTTTAGGCTTTTAAATAAAATATAACACTTTTAAAATAACATGCTATAGCTATGTATAAAGTTTTTTAAAAAAAATAATAAATAACTAACACACTAGATAACTTTTATAAGCTAATTTTATAGCTAACTTATAAAAGCTAAGTAATAATAAAAAGTAGGTAATTATTAAGCATATACTTAAGCTATATATGTAAGGATTTTTCTTTTAGCTAGTAGCTATAGCTAATATAGCTAATTCTTTACACACTAAGTGTAATCTAGGCTATGTTAGTATAAACTAGCCTAGTATGTTTATAAAGTATTATTTAAAGCTTAAAGTAAAGTTTTAGGTATAAGTATAGTTAGTAAATATCTAGCTTATTATAAAGCTTATCTTATTAAAGTTATAACGTACCTAACGGGTTAGCCGGCCACTTTTGCCAAGCCCCTACTAAAACCACCCTATTCTAGCGCAAAACAGCCTACTTTAGCCCTGTATAAAGCAATACAACACAAGATATTATTTAAAGTCTACTTCTACTACTTTTTTACACATACATAAGTTATGCCTAGTTTAATTACACTGCTTATATTACTTTTAACTTAGCTTACTTTTTTTAGCGCGCACTTGTGTCTTTAGCTTTTTTTTATTACTACGCGCTTTAAACTTTTTTAAAGTAGTTAAATAAGCTTTATTTTTAACTATTAAAGTTTTTTTACTTAAATTTACTTTCTTTTATGTAATCTATGTTATGTAGTAGCCTTATTTGCTGCTTAAAGCTCTATAATCTTCTTTTACACTAATACTAGCTTATGTGTAATAATTACTACCTCTTTTAAGACCTTTTTAAAGGCTTTTACTATAGATGTTAGTAAGCTATTTATATACCTTTAAATTTTTACTTTTATAAGTATTAATTATAACTTAAATTTAAAAGTATTACTTAGGGTTTACAACTACTAAAGCTTATTATTAATAAGTAGTAGTAGTAATAAAGTACATAACTAGATATTAAAAGCTATTTTAACTTATTTTAAGTTAAATAAGACTAAACTAGCGCCTTAAAACTCTTTTTAAATATTACTAAAAGTAATTACTACATTATAAGTGTATATAAAGCATAGTAGAAACTTAAGTTTTATAATATAAGTAATTTAGTTACACATAAAATCTTTAGCTTAGCGCTTATACACCTTCTTTAAAGGGGTAAAACAACCTACATTAAAAAGCTATAAAAAGTGTAATAAGTGTAAAAGCATGTAAATAGTAATAATCTTATTTTTTTTATAGTACTACTAGAGATTAAGCAAGTTGTAGCTTTTATAGCTATTAATAATAAAAAGCTAATAAGTGCTTATAACTTTTTTTTATATGCTTATTAAAGTGCTTTAACTACTGTAGCTTAAGCTTATTTATTATCTGGCTATTTTTAGAGACTATAATAACCTAGTTCTAAGGCAGATTCTTTTTTTTATACTAAGTAAAAAGGTAATAGTAGCCTTTAAAGATAATAAAAAGTAAAATAGCTTACTTTATTATATTAATACTTTAAATAACTATTATTTACTTTTTATTACTTTACTATATTACCTTTAGCTGTTTTTATTTTTTTTAAAGCTATAATAACTGCTCTAGTTAATATTTAGCCTATTATAAAGCTTAACTTATTAAAGTTATATATATTTTTATCTAAGATACTATACTTAGCTTTTATGTTAGCTACTAGGCAAAACTAGCTCTAGATAACTTTTAAATTTTTATAAAGTGCTTTTTTATAATTATACTTATAATTAAACTTTATTATAAACTTAAAGTAGTGCTTAACCTACATACTAGGCTAGTTTAAGCTAACCTAGCCTAGATTACACTCTACGCGTAAGAAATTAGCTATATTAGCTATAGCTGTAAGCTTAAAAAAAATCTACGTGTAATAAGCTTAAGTATATACTTAATAACTACTTTTTTTTTAAGCTTAGTTAGATTCTTTAATTTAGGCTAGCATTCTACTTATAAAGGCTATCTAGCGCGTTAATTACTTAGTGTTATATAAAAGACATTATAGATAGCTGTAGTATGTTATAAAAAAAGTTTAAGTCTTATTTAAAAGCTTAAAAAGTAAGCTATATCTAACATTCTTTAGAAGATTTAATCTAGTGTTGTTGTTAAGGCATTATGTAGATAGGTAAAGTTTAGTAGGGGCTTAGTAAAAGTAGCTAGCTAACCTGTTAGGTACGTTATTGTATTTTATTTAAAAGCTTAAAGTATAAGCTATAACGTACTTCACAGGCAAGTTGCTTACACACCTAAGTTGCTTACTTTTACTAAGACTTTATGTCGCGTACAGCTATCCGTCTACATATATCCTTCTGCTGTGCTAGCTGGGAGGTTGACCTTTTGGCAAACGCAACAGTTATGAGCCCGGTTCGCGGCGTAGTGTAGATGGTTAGCGCACGAAAATTTTCGCATCCCTGCTCTCCCTACTCCACCAGTAGGATCGCATTATGCCGGAGCACTGCGTGTTTGATTCCCACGCTCAGCAAAGAGCATTTAGGCAGTGCGCCTATTACAGAGGCTACCTTACTAGATCCGTCTCTAAGTTCTGTTGCTTGGGCGAAAGAGGAAGGGTGTGTTAAGGTTGTTTCACCATGTTTCACCTCTCTCGTTCCACGGTTCGAGCTGGGGGGTGTGTCGCGTATGTAAGGCCAGGATGGCGCTTACGTGTAAGGCCGAGATGGTGCTTACGTGCGACGGGTATATACTATTCTGCACCTAAAAATCAACGTTAGTTGATTATTCGTACCTTTTAGTTGTATTGGCGGAGTGGTGCGGAGCCCCGTCCTTACATAATAATCAACCAACAACAAGGACGGTCGCGCGTTCGACCCACACCTCGGACAGCTTTGCCAGTTTTTAGACTAAAACGTGAGGCGGCCTCTTCTAGCGCCACGTTGTTGCTGCTAGGAGGTCTAGTGTATATGGCTTAGCTGGCGTGGGCCACTGAGCGTTGCGTTGTGTTTATCCCGCGCCTCTAGGCCGCAGGTGGTCAGCCTCTGGCCGGTAACCGAGACATGCGCATAGGCGCCTCTGAGCTGCGGGTAGGTCATGTGACGCCTGGGACATGCGTCTGCTAAGAAGGGGGATAATGTAAGGCCGAGATGGTGCTTACGTGCGACGGGTATATACTATTCTGCACCCGAAAATCAACGTTGGTTGATTATTCGTACCTTTTGGTTGTATTGGCGGAGTGGTGCGGAGCCCCGTCCTTACAGCGTACAGCTATCCGTCTACATATATCCTTCTGCTGTGCTAGCTGGGAGGTTGACCTTTTGGCAAACGCAACACTTTACTAAACTACTTTTTTTATACTAATACATTTCTAACAACACTACTTAGATATGCTAAAAAATGTTAGATATAGCTTATACTTTACACTTTTAAATAAAATATAAAACTTTTAAAAAAAAATATGCTATAGCTATATATAAAGTTTTCTAAAAAATAATAAATAACTGTGGCACTAAATAACTTTTATAAGCTAATTTTATAGCTAACTTATAAAAGCTAAGTAATAATAAAAAGTAGGTAATTATTAAGACTATACTTAAGCTATATACATAAAATTTTTTCTTTTAAATAGCATTTATAGTTAATATAGCTAATTTTTTATACACTAAGTATAATCTAAGCTATATTAGTATAAACTAGCTTAGTATGTTTAGAAAGCATTATTTAAAGCTTAAAGTAATATTTAAGTGTAGTATAACTATAAAAACGCTTTTTATAAAAGTTTTAAAGTATTTTAAAGCAGGTTTAGCTTTATAAAGAATATTAAAGCTAAGTATAGCATTTAAAATAATAACATGTATAACTTTAGTAAAATAAGCTTTATTATAAGCTAAATATTTATTAACTATACTTATACTTAAAACTTTACTTTAAGCTTTAAATAACACTTTATAAACATACTAAGCTAGTTTATGCTAATATAGCCTAGATTACACTTAGTGTATAAAGAATTAGCTATATTAGCTATAAATGCTATTTAAAAAAAATTTATATATATAGGTTAAGTATTGTTTTAATAATTACCTACTTTTTATTATTATTTAGCTTTTATAAGTTAGCTATAGAATTAGCTTATAAAAGTTATTTAGTGCTATAGTTATTTATTATCTTTTAAAAAACTTTATATATAGC